CACATCTGGTACTTTTGTCAGGAAGGGCCAGTTCCAAAAAAAAAAAAAAAAAAAAAAAAAAAAAGGAAGGGCCACTTCCATTTTGTGTTTGTGTTGGGGGGGGGGGGGGGGGGACTGTCTACGTCTATAGCGCCTCTCTCAGGAGGGGCGTGGCTCCCATAGTTTTTTTGCTGTTGCCACGTGTCTGAATCATCAGAGGGGCTCTTTGCTCCCATACAAAGACACATGCATACTCCCTGCTTCTGAGGACATTGATTTAAATTTTAAACCACTAGTGCGTTCCCGGCTATGTTTTCAAAGTCGTGGCTTGCATGGAGCTGCAACTTTCGGGGCTCGGCCGCCAGAGAAAATTGGCTGGCGGCTCCAGCCAAAAGCAGGTCCGCACTGTTTCGTTTTTTTTTGGGCGGTGTTGCTCTGTTCTGTGCCCTCAGTTTGCCGATGCCAGAACGATGGTGGCCGGAGCTGGGGTGTTACCCTGTAACCTCCAACGGCAGGAGTGTGAGGCCTTGTAGAGAGATCTGGGGTTTGCCGAGGGAGGAAGGTAAGCCAGTGGCGAATTGTGGGGGACCGCCTTGACACCCTATGGGGTCGGGGATAATCTTGGTGGCGAGAAGAGGTCAGCTATGGATGATGTTGGTCTGGTCAGTACTGTCTTTGAGTAGTAATGTCCTGGTATAGGGAGGGCTAGGAGTTTGCTCTATATTTAGGAAACTGGACTGGCTGATATAGCATAGTATTCAATTTTTTGGTTCTTCATCAAAAAAGATCTTAGCCGAAGCCGGGTAATGGCCCCGGCACCTCATATGTTGTGTAATAATTAATGTGGGACGCTGGACCCGGTTTCCAGCACGTGCTGCTCCCCACGAATAGATTGGAGCAAATTGTCCAAAAAAAAAAAAAGAAAAAAAAAAAGGATTTTGTAATTTCAGTCCAGTTGATGTGGCTCGGTGGTTAGAGCACATTGTGGTATGAGGTTGCGGGTTCGAAACTCAATTGCAACCTTGCACATGGACACCGGCAGGGCGTTAGATACACACTCCCTTGGGCTGACACATGGTACTATTACAGACACTGCCTGCGCCCCACCCAAGGGTTGTATGTTTGGTTCTGGGTTTCACATGGGTTGCTTGGGGGTGTTGGTCTTGGGTGTTCTGTTGATCTCCCCAGTCTGGCATATCACACTTTCGTGCCATTTCCACTAGCCGTTCACATGGTAGAGTCATACGATTACATGTTTTAAGGTCATGGGTTCGAGCTTGGCTCGGATCTTGGGGGGGTCCTTGTCCAGCTTACCCTGTTCTCTCTTCGATATACACACATGATGCTGCCTATACATCTCGATACATAGATTCACAGAGCACACACAACCTTCGGGCATATACATAGCTTGCGAATTATACATGGCCTACGGGCTACATACACAAGTTTCCACACATGGTGCTGTCTGTACATCTTCATACATAGATACACGAAGCATACACAGCCTTCGGGTATACACATACATTTCGAACTACACAACTATCAGACTGGGGGGGTCTAGTCACTGGGTGGGGTCTAGTATCTGCGGTAGGGACAGGTATGGGCCACTGGAGTTCCTACTGATATTCGGGTAGAACTGTCCAGTGGCTATGCTTAGACCCTGGGGTGAGGGTAGGGGTATAAGTTGCTCAGGTCAGTCCGAGTTCTGCCTGGCCTTGGGTAAGCTAGGGGAAGGACGGTAAGACTGCTTCAATGGGTGCTACCCTGTCTGAAACCTAGGGCCCAGAGTCTCTTGGGGCCTGTAGTAGATTGTCTGGGCCTGGCGTCCGAAGTTCCCGTTCGACAAGGCTCGTCCAATTCCGCTTCCACCAGGGCTGGGCAACCTATCAGCCCTGGTGCCTATCACTGCTGTTGGGTCCAAGTTACCTGCCCATTGGTAGGGTAATGGTCCTGAGTGCTGGTCACACTGAGGTAGGATAGTGGGATAGGGGGTGCGCTAGGAGTATTGACGTGRGGATGGGATGGGAGGTGGTCTCATATTCCAGGACACCCACGGCCTACTGGCCCAGGTGATCACTGTGTACACAGTGACTGGCCTCTACAACACCATGGACTTTTTTATATAAAACTTCTGTTCGGTCCAAGTTACCTGCCCATTGGTAGGGTAATGGTCCTGAGTGCTGGTCACACTGAGGTAGGATAGTGGGATAGGGGGTGCGCTTGGAGTATTGACGTGAGKAYGGGATGGGAGGTGGTCTCATATTCCAGGACACCCACGGCCTACTGCTCCAGGTAATCACTGTGTACACAGTGACTGGCCTCTACAACACCATGGACTTTTTTATATTAAAAAAAAAAGGATTTTGTCATTTCGCTGAATTCGTTGTGTAGCCCTGGAATGGAGTGTAGGGTTGGCTGTTCACTATTGGATCGTTGCCTTTCTGAGGGAGACATGGTTACGGCCAAAGGAAACAGTTCACCCTGTAACTTTTTCTATGATGTGAGGGACGCTGGACCCGTTTTCAGGCTTGTATAAGTCAAAAGCGGCTGTCGTATGAACCAGGCTCATACGGCACTGGCTGCCTTCTTAAATTAAAAAAAAAAAAAAAAAAGGAGAAAACTACGGTGCAGTCAGGGTTACAGTTTGCAATTGATCCAGCGGCCTAGCTCAGTTGGTAAGGCAGGCAAGTGGCATTCAGGAGGTCTTGGGTTCAATCCCCATTGGCCTCATGTACCTTCCTGGGCATGCTTGGCGCCCGCCACCTAGAGATAGCCCGTTGGTCCCCCCAATTGGCTTTAAAAAGCAGTCTCTGCTGATGTTCATAGGGGGAGGGGTACTCAGGGAGGCACAGCGACTGGCCACTCAGATGATGCTCGGTCCCTCTGCTTCCGGCTGTCCCCTGGCCGGTGGCCCCAGTGGGGGATCCCTGAAGGCTATCAGGCCACCCTAAGGCTATCAGGCCACCCTAAGGCTATCAGGCCACCCTGGGCTGAAAAGGCCACCGTTGTCAGATTAGACACAAGATTGAATTTACCTGGGCTGGTTAGTCCGATGATAATACCTCAAGGCCATCGCCCTTTCAAAAAAAAAAAAAACAAAAAAAAAAAAAACACTTTGCAATTGCATTTCAAACTGCGTTTTAGCAATTTAGACAGGGCCCAAGTTTCAATTGCGGTTGAAACTCGGGCTGACCTTTTCTAGCAGTTCAGTCAGGTAGATGGCCCTTCCGGTCGCGCATCGCAACGCACGGCGGCGCGGCTGAAAAAAAAAACAAAAAAACAGCCCCATGGTTGGGCCACGGCTGACATGACTCGGCCACACCCCAGACTGGCCACGGCCGAGATGTCTCGGCCACACCCCAGATTGGCCGCGGCCCAGATGTCGCGTGGCAGGGCGTGGTGGGGCCGCCCTACACAATTCAGAGGGACGGAGGCCGAAGAAGAAAAAGGAAAGGAAAAGAGAAAAAAAAAAGAAAAGAAACGAGGTGGAAGTTACACCATTGCTTTGAGGAATGTATCTGGCCAGTATGTGAGGACCGTGAGCCATGCCGTTTTCTTTTTTGCTTTTTGTTGTGAGGTTCCAGACAAGTACTGGAGCATCCTGTATCGGACCGCAATCACAGCATAAGGGATGCTTTTTTTTTTTTTTTTTTTAATCTGCTGTTTGTGGATAGACGAGGGCCGTGACTGAACTGCTACCGAAAGGCAGGTCAAGTTTCAACTGCAATTGAAACTCGGCCCCTGACTAAAGTGCGAAATCAGTGTTTCGAATGCAATTACAAACTATTTTCGTGACTGCGCCGAAGTTACCCCCCAAAAAAATCTAGTCCCGGAGAAAAGTCCGTAGGAAGTACTGGTGTTTTATGTTTTTTCAACTATCAGTACTCCAAGGCACTTTTCTCCGGCGCTGGAAACACCCTGTGCACCAAAAAAAAAAAAAGGAAACGGCGCGGACCTCCGTTTGGCTGGTGCCGCCAGCCATTTTGCTCCGGCCTTGTGGCAGCACGTAGCGGTGGTGAAAAGCTCGAGTAAGCTGCATACACACCCATTCACACAGGTAGGAGAGAGAGGCAGTATGCAGATACCTCTCCCTTGAATCTTCCCTTCAGGGTTGGTTGGATCGGTACTCCCAGTTCACAACTTCACACTGCTTTTTTTCTCCCCCCCCCTTCACCGATATACCTCACTCTACGGAACCTCTTATCTAAGTCCAGCTTTGAGTATTGAGCGTTCTGTGCAGCAGATGCAGCAGATCCATACTACGCACACGAGCTGCGGCGCCCTAAGAGTTATGGGTTGGCACCGACCTCCTCCTGTGTCTAAGCTCCACAGCTTCTTTCTTACCCCGGGCATAAGCACCACAGCTTCTTCCTTACTCCGGGCAATGGATGGGAAGGGAAGGAAAACCCTACCAAGCCCTACCCGGGGGCGGGGGGGGGGCAAGCCGACTATCTGAGCTGGTGAACTCGTAGCGAGCCGCGGTGGTCAGTAAGGGCTACCGGCCTTACTGTGGTCAACTTGTAGTAACTTGGTGTTTCTTCTGTGTTCCTCGTGAGTCGTCCTCTGTGAAGGTCAGTACGCAGGGCGGGTCCCGGGAATCTACTGTCCTTGCCTGGGCCCACTTGTCCCACTGTGTAGTGATCTGGGATTCCTTCTGTACTTCGGATTGATTTCCGTCTGGGCGAATATGAGGGGTGGTTTTGGGGGAACTGACAGGCCTTGGGTTGATTTGTCCGGTTGTGGAAAGGCCCGGTATTTTTTGTAATTGGCCTGCTGTTTTTCTTTTTTGGTTCCTGGTACATTTTTTTCATCCTTGTTCTGCATGTATCTCAACCACGTGCTGTTCTAACCATTCCCCTCGGGTTGCGTGTTTTATCCCTGTTTCACTTCCTATTTTCTGGACCTGAGTTGGTGTGTGGGGGGGGAGGGGGGAGGGAGGGGGGAGGGAGGAGGGAAAGGCATGGGTGGGTGTGTTCGTGTGTGCAATGCTTGTTTCGATTTCGATTTCGATTTATTTGCAGGAAGTACCATGGCTAACATTTTGGTGGTTTATGACCGTGCCAATCAGAGGCTGGGATTCCGACACCAACGGTGCTCACGGCTGCTCGCCGAGTTTTCGGGAAGAGGTGAGAAAGAAGGGGAGGAGGAATCCGATCCGCTCTCGGCTTTGTCATCTCTTAACGAATGGCATGACAGTAATCCAGGTGCAAAGTCGTCGGGCTCGGACGCAGAATCTGGTGCACACGCTAATGACATGTCAATGTCATATGACGAGCCACTCGAGGCCGACGACGGTTCTTTTGACCTCAGGTACAAGAAGGACCTTGAGCTTTCGTCCCCTTCTTCCTCGCACAATCCTCCATCCTGCATGTTCGCTGACGGTTTGCGGTCCAATGGCAGCAGCACTGGACTGACTACCAAATCCTGCCATTCGGCCAATCGTTCCTCCTCTGGGAATCGGACCGTTGGAAACGCCTCGTCCGCTGCGGTGCACCATCCACCGGTACACGCAGTTTTCAAAAAACCTGGCGCTGGTGCAAAAAGTATGAAAATGCCGATACATGAGGAGACCCCGGACGGGACTGCCTCTTTGGCAGAGTCACAACCTCTTGTGCCCAACTCTTCATCCATGCGGTGGCGGCCTGGTCATACTTGCCGAGTTTGCGGAAAACTGTCCGGATTCTCTCGGATGGCGGCACGCATCTGCGAGTCGTTGCTCTTGCTTGTTACACCTCTCCTTGCAACCAGATGGGTTCTGCTCTGAGTCTTCGAGTCAGCAAGTTAAAATCCAGCAGATCACAGCCATAGAACTTTGAGTCGTTGTGGGCATTATAGCCATATCTAGAGTGGAAGTTACACCAAATACGGCTCTAAAGATAGCCTACGAAGGGCCCTCTACTCGGGCAAAGACGGTACATTATCGAACGAACGGTTGTCCGAAGCAGACGAGAAACTGGCCATGTGCTTAAATGGAAGTCTGCGTATACGCCGCACCAGGGCTTCCCTGGATGTACCTGACCTTAATTGTGGCCGGCCGCGGATGTATGTGAAAGCAATTACGTCCAGGGATCATAGGAAAAGGTCCTACCATAGTGTGAGTATGCCTTGAGACCATGCACGTAGTGAGGACCCAGATGAGTCCCAGACAGTGCATCCAAGCCAAAGAGGACCAGACAGAAGAGTCCCAGACATTATGCATCCAAGACTCTGGGACATCTGGCTGCAGATCCGAGACTCTGGGAAGCCTGACTGAGGACCAGACAGAACAGTCCGAGACATTAGGCATCCACGACTCTGGGACATCTGACTAAGGACCAGACAGAAGATCATAATTGTGGATCCGAGAGTCTGGGAAAGCTAAGGACCAGGCAGAAAACTACTATTTTTAACTCTGGGAATGCTGACTAAGGACCAGGCAGAATAGCACCATTGTCGATCCGAGACACTGGGAAAGCGGACTAAGGACCAGGCAGAATAGCACCATTGTTGATCCGAGACACTGGGAAAGCTGACTAAGGACCAGACAGAATAGCACCATTGTTGATCCGAGACACTGGGAAAGCTGACTAAGGACCAGACAGAATAGCACCATTGTGGATCCGCGACACTGGGAAAGCTAAGTCCCAGAAAAGTTCCAGAGAGTGTGGATCCAAGGCTCTGGGAAAGCTAAGGACCAGACGGAATAAAAGTACTATTAAAGACTCTGGGAAAGCTGACTAAGGACCCTCTGGGAAAGCTGACAGAGGACCAAACAGAAGAGTACCAGAGAGTACGGCCTCGAGACTCTGGGAAATTGGACCAAGGACCAGGCAGAACAGTACCATTCTGGATCCGAGACTCAGGGAAAGCCAACTAAGTACCAAACAGAACAGTACCATTCTTAGGGAAGTCTGAGAACACCAGAGGATGGATGACCTCGCTCTCAAATCGGGATTGGGACTCTGCAGGACCAATTATGGAACACAAATAAGAAACTTGATCTGCACATTCGATGGAGAGCTGGAGGGCACCAGTTTAGGAGGAATCGAATCGCTATGGAGAACGCATGATATGCGTTTGTGAGCTTGTTTGTGGGCTACCATGGTTCCTGGTTCAGCCAGTCTGCGATCAGTGGCTGAGGGTCCACCCCGGATCTGACGGGTGTGGCTGAGGGTCCTCGGGGCACTCGGATTCAAGGGCTTGAGAGTCAGTTAGGAGGAATTGCTATGGAGAACGCATGATATGCGTTTGTGAGCTTGTTTATGGGCTACCATGGTTCCTGGTTCAGCCAGTCTGCGATCAGTGGCTGAGGGTCCACCCCGGATCTGACGGTTGTGGCTGAGGGTCCACCCGCCGCACCCGGCACTCGGATTCAAGGGCTTGAGAGTAAATGACCACAGGCTAAGAACCGGCTTTCACAGTTCTGCAGATCTGAGATGACCAAATGCAATGCACAACTACGCTCTCAGATGCAAGGTTTTTTATGAGGACTGCTGCTGAGATTTGAAAAGTATTCGATGGGTAGGAAAACCGGCGACAGTTAGTTGAGAACCCGAATCTCACAATCAAGCCTTGAATAGGGTACAGTTGTTGTCTGATACACAGGCAACTTCCTCCAGCTTGCCCTGTGTGACAGGTAACACAAATCGCGAGAGTTGTGGTCGCCAGTTTGAGATCAAGGGTCTGAGCGGACGGCCGCCTGTCAGTTGTCTAACAAGCTGAGACCAACGGATGCGCTGTATCTAGCCTCGCAGGAACCTGTTATGGTCCAGATGCATCCGGGTAAATAGCTTCTTTTCGAGACTTCGAAGCTGGCCTCTCATAAAAGATCGCATACTCTGCAGCCACCCCCATGGAGGGTCACTCTGTTATCTGTATCTCGCCTGTGATAAAGATCATATACGCTGACATGCAAGCGCGGAAGAGAGCGTGCACTGTCGAGATCATCAACTTACAAATCTGTCACAGGATGATGAGAGGAGGAAACACTGCAGGAAAAGAGAAACTGCATCATCAGAAATGCAGATAATGCCTGCACGGGGAAGCGTGGAGGAGAGTGTGGGATTGGGGAGGTGTTGAAAGGCTTAGGGTTTAAACCACCAGTAGACGGCCCCAACGTCACAGAAATTTGGTTTGTCGCCTACTCCGGAAATTTCGCAACTTGGGCCTACTGGACCATGATAATTGCTGGCAGTGCCAGCCAAAAAAGAAAAGAAGTGCACCGCTGGCGATTTTTTGGAAAAGCGTGGCGTGCAGTGCGGCGCCTCCAGGCCCAGGTGCACTGGTGGTTCGAGCTGCACTGTCGACATCAACTTATGGTTCTGTCATCATAGGATAATGGGCCTCGCTCCACCGCTCTCGAAATGTACAAAACGAGAATGAATCTTCCGCTAGAACATGGAAAGATACACTGCCATGATTTTTGGTTTTTGTGCATGTCGAGATGGGCACCTGCAGGATAGAGGACTCCGTCATCAGAAAGTAGCTTGAAGATGATGGCCGCACGGCGAAGCGTGGAAGAGAGCATGGCATTGGAGGGATGTTAAACCGCCAGTACGTGGGCACCTGGGCTGCGGGTCTGACCAGGTTTGGCCTCAAATTCTGGAGGTGCAAAACTAAAACGGGGCTGCCAATAGAATTTATCAACGGCGGGCCCAGCATTTGACGTTTCGGCCTCGTTTTCTTGCGGCGACAAGTTTCGGACTGCAAGGCTGGGGCCGTGTTTTTTGTGGTTTAAAACCCAAGCTTTTAGCTGTGCACTGTTGACATCAACTTGCAGCGCTGTCATAAAATGATGATGACTGGAGGATCAGACATGTTGTACCGTCTCTTTTGGTCCGAGACATATTGTACCATTTCTTTTGGTCCCAGACATATTGTACCATTTCTTTTGGTCCCAGACATACTGTACCATTTCTTTTGGTCCCAGACATATTGTACCATTTCCTTTTGGTCCTTATTAATGCACAGTTGAGTTCCACCTTGTGGACCAGAGAAGTTGGTGTGAATGGTGCCATGGGCTTGGATGGCCAAGCGCTCGAGGCCGCCTGGAACAACCTGGTGGTCCAAGCGCTCGAAGTCGGTCAGGACAATCCGGTGGGTCAAAGTGCTTGAGAACGGCCGGAGCAACCTGGTGGGTCCAAGTGCTCAAGCCCGGCTGGGACAAACTGGTGGTCTCCTACTCCAGGATGAACCTCTCATCAGTCAGTCGATTCCAGGTGGGATTCCACCACACGTGGATAAACTTGGTCATGAAACAGGTCAGCTTCATCCACGTGTTTTCCATGTGGTATTCCAAGCTTAGTGCCCAGTTCACCTTTTTTTTTTTTTTTTTTTTTTTTTTTTTTTTTTTTTTTTTTTTTTTTTTTT